GAGAGGTATTTGTATTACGACGTTAAATCTATACACAAGAATTACCTATACGCATTAGTTTAAAATAACAAAGCATTTATGCAATTGTTCGATTTAGAAGTTAACGGAAGTGTGATGGAATTCTGAAGAATGATGTTACAAAGAAGTGACTCGTTTGGGGGATCCTAAATGCTGTCATCTTAAAATCGCACTATTCATAATTCTGCTTCAATCCACAAGAAAAATTATCAAAACGGTCAAATGAGAAAGGAAACACAACTTTCATTTACAAATCACAGTTTCCCATATTTGCAGTGTGTTCCAACTGAAGTCAGCAGTGCACATCTTAGGACCAGTGGATTTCTTCTTTTCCCTTTAATTTATCCAAGTTCTCTCACTTTATACTTTTTCTCCTGTTGTTCTCCGTCCTGGTCATGATCTCTATTTTTTTGACGTGGTATTCCACCCTTTGTCTGAAGTTACAATCTGGATAGGTGTTCAGTTGCATCTTTGGCTATTGATTTTTATTTACTTATTTTGCATTTTGTCTCTTAATTTAGCTATTGTCATTGTTTAAATACTTTATTTAAACAATGCTATCGTGTAGTACAAAAACAGTCGCAGGTAACCACTCATTGCAATACTTATATCATTATTCGCCTGGGTTAGATAGAGATGAATATATGTTTTTATTTTTATTTTATTTTGCCTTTATTTTCGATAATGATATCATAGCATAATCTAACTCACAGGCGACCAGTTTTACAGTGCGATGAATGCCGTGACTTTTTTTATCCTATAAGAGGCATAATATTGCTATCTTGTGGGTGTTTGCGTTTTCATTAATTTATCCATGTTTGTTTTAGTTAATCTCCATGCTTGGTAGACGTATGTAATTAGCGAGGATAGACGGGTCCAATACCTTCATTTTTAACTACTACTGTACTTTATTATCATTTAAGATCCATTTTAATAAGCTAATCTCACCCCTTTTTACTTGTTTGGTTTTCTTTGTTTATTTTTCCAAGATATTTATAATCTGTGACTTTTTTTCATCTGTATTTGTCATAGGCAACGTTTTCTAGTTGCTAATGAGACAAGTTTTGAAAAAAAAACATCCCCTGTTATACGCCTTTCCTAATTGGTCTGTGAGGTACTAAAAATTTGTCAAATATATGTGACATTACGATCTATCCGATCGCATATTGAAACTTCCTGTATACTCGATTCACCAAATTGTACCTGTGGTAATAGACCAACGGCAGACCTAAACCATTTATTCTTCGAATGTCCAAATTATGCAGACGCAATTAAAACTCTATTAAAAGAGCTAAATGATAACGGTGTCCAACGTCCTTTAAACATTACATGTGTCCTGGCCTAAGGCTTTGAATATAAAATTTTATATTCAAAGCCTAAGGTAAAAAAGCAGTTTTCGATTCGATAACTAAATTTATAAAAACAATTAACCTCAATATATGATATAACAAATGTGATGTTTGATATATGAGACGTATGTGGCAAATAGCAAAAGCTGATGCTAAAAAAAAAGAAACTTTCGATTTTACCGGAATTGGAAACAACTTTTGTTTTTCAAATGCAATGGCTACGTGTTTTTAAAGATATTTGAAAAGAGTAATTAATTTACTGTACGATAACATAAAATATGCATATGGTTTATGTACGAAAAAAATGGAGAAATTCGTGATTCAATATTTAGAAACCTATAAAATTTAGCATGTCGTGTGCTATTAGGATGCGCGTGTGTTTGTTGCGCTACACGGGTACATCGTATCGCGAAAAAGTAAATTTTCAAAACGAAACAATGGCCCGTATGAATAAAAGTAAGCAAATGCTTATACTTAAAAAATTCAAAGTAAATACTCGTAAATGCTCCTTCGCACAGGACAGGACGCAGTGCAGCACTGCTAAACCATGCTAAACAGACCAGTATGAAGGGGCAGTTGCGGTTATGTCGTATTTACTTTGAATTTGAATTTGAAGTATAAGCATTTGCTTACTGTTATTCATACGGGCCATTGAACAAGTTGATGTAGGTCTTATCTGTGTGGTATGGCACACGGCATGCTAGATTTCATTTTTCTAAATATTGAATCACATATTTTTCAATTTTTTTATATTTCAACCATTAGCATATTTTATGTTGTCAGGAATGAGTTTTATGTTGTCAGATCAAGGAAGAATGAGTTTAAAATCATCGTAAACAATATTCGGTAACAAAATGTATTTTAAGTTTTCTCCACTATGACTTCAGATGGTCATAAAATGACGTCCCATTTAATTTTGCCTAATTGTTCTTCCATGGAGTTTTTCATTTTCGCGTCTGATGTTATATGTTAATAGGTGTATTCCGTTATATTACTTCTTTTTCTGATTCTGTGGTTGCATATATTTCTACTGTATTTTTCCGTCCAGCAAAATTGACCATTTTTGGTATGGAACATCATACTTCTCAGCAAATATTGAACTAACCCAAATTTTTATAAAATTTATAAAGTAAAAAAGTTACGTAAATTTAAGAATAAGTGGCGTTTGTTTTAAAATTAACAATTTGAATGAATATAGGGGTTTCAAGGCTTTGCCATATTATTTTTTGACTCACAATTTACACTGCTATAATATGCAATGGCAAACGGGTCATTAACCCCTAGGTCATTTAAATTCCGGTAGGTACTAACAAAACCTTTAAAAGAAATAATTATAATTTTTGTAGGGCACGTCCAGCCTCCGCCACGATGAAAATCTCGACATTGGCGTAAATTTTATTAATTTGGGAACCACCTCAATCGTGTCCAAAATTCCAAATTTTTAATCAACACTTGATGTAAAATTCTGGGTACGAAATAGAAAAATTTAATAGGAACGCCCTTATCTAGGTCGTAATTTGAGCTTTATTAAATACAAAACAAAAAATAGTCGCTCAGAGTTAGAAAAATAAATGCACGCAACATGCGATCGATGGAACAGATTAATAAAAGAAGTGTTAATTACCTTAAAGTGTTAATAATCCAAAATTTCGCACTCACACATAACACCAAAACCAACCTAATGATGCTTCAGAACTTCTGTACTTCTTTGACTGCACTTGAATCTCGATTTAGATGATTTCGGTGTAATTATTGCTTGGGCCTTTGATGGATTCAAAAATGCCCTTTGACGGGTAACGTAAAGACATTAAGAAAAGGCTTCTCTTCAGCGACATAACCGCAGAAATCCGTCGTAGATCAATAACCTGCATCTGTATGTTTACTTTACCTGCAAAACACCTGCTTAAATCGGAGATAACACGTGCTTCTTTGATACTAATTAGTAGTTAGCATACGCCGCGGTAACGCTACTATCGCCATGTGGGAGGAAAATATGCGATCAGTTTTACAACGATTTTTACAAATACTACATAAGTAATTCCAACTTAATCGTTTAACAAAATAAATGAAGCTATTATTTAAACAAAATGAACATTCAATAAGTAGTTTACTTTCCATGCTAACTCAGCTGTAAAATTTAGTTAAGAATAGGAAAAAAATCAATTGATTTTTCCTTCACTGATAATCTAAATAACTCAAACAAAATATTCAGAACCTTAACACTCCAGTATATTTTGGAGAAATAACGCAACTGCCAATTTGGCAGACAAAATACATTTATTATAAGTAAACACTTAAATCAAACAAATTCCTACAGGTCTACAAAAAGGGAAAATAAAAAATATTCCTGCTGGCCAGATAATTGAACCTATCTTAGTAAACGATACAACGATTATTTCTAAGCAAACACGTTTTTAATTCAACACGTAGTCAGAAAAAGTATTAATGTCAAAACAGGCTTCCACAGAAAACAATGGTTAAGTGAATATCAATCAAATTCCATTGTATCGAAAACTGGTATGTAATGAAACGTTATATCAAGAAGTCGACGAAAAAAAATTAACTTTGAACTTCGGGTCGCAACCTTGGGAGCTCAAAGGGTGCGTTCAGCGTTTTCTGTAACAGAAATCACCAGAACAAACAAATAAAAGTGGTAGTGAATAACGCGGCACATAAAATATCACGTAAGCACTTCTGAAGTCTGACGCTGAGGGTTATCTCTTACTAACTCGTACCCCCCCCCCCATAACTTCCTTTATATCCATTTCCGTCTGGTGCCCTTTTAATACAAAGTTCTCGCCTCTTATGTTTTACTCGCCTTCTTTTTTTGGCCAATCCACGAACTTCGATCTACAAATTTAATAAAAAATCCACCTGCACTCGTTTAAAGCGATAGACATGGAGCTATCAAGCCAACGAGATTGTGGGGAAAGCATAAGCGTCTCGACGCTAAAAGATGATAAAACGTTTTTAAAAATTGCACACCTTAGTCTTGCAGTAATACTTAAATGGGTAGTTATAACAGATTTGGCACGATATTTAGAATGCAATATTTATAATCATAGGTAATAATTGGTAAATGACGTTAATAAGACATCCAACACACTTTTATTCGCAATCGATTTGATTGTAATTAACGTATGATAAAAGACTTTTTTCGAAGAGGTTTTGGTTTACAGACAATTCCACTACTGCCACGTCTCAAAGTTACGGAAGATGTGCCCTTCACTTCTATTTGCAAACGTGGGTAAAGGCAATTTGTTTTCTAATTGTTATATAATTTTGATTGCTTATTTAAATCGCGTGTGCGGCTCACGTAATAGGCGTGGTAGTTTTCTAATTCACTTATTACCAGCTTACTCTTACTATTACAACTAATACGATTACTGTACTCCTTGCATGAATACGCCACGCTACAATTGCCGGCTAATTACAACTTACGTGCTAATGAGAGCATTGTGTAGCTAGGGACCATGCGTTTATAGCAGTAATGACAATTGTTTTTATTTATTATTACCATTTCTAATGACAATAATAATTCGAAGGTTGAATTCAAGTCACGACGACTTTACCTACCTACTTATCCATTAAGAGGTCGCGTTCTTCGCAAGGCCTCTTTACAATGTTACCTCAAGGATGCTACGATCAACTCATCTTCTGATGAGTCACCGTAAACAAGTTCTTTATGTGCCGTAAAATGATCAGAAAATCGCAATTAACGTATTCAATTCCTTGGAGGTGGCTAATTGATTTACCATTCGATTACTGTGTCCATAGGAATTTGTGAGGAAAACACTCATATTTCACGTGCAGTACAAATTAATTGAAGGATGTAGTTTTCATGCAAGGGTAACCATATGTTCAAAGTTCACTGTACAGTTGCTCTTTGTATACTCACCTTAGAGTTAATCTCAATTAAGATTGTAAGTGCAATGCTAATTATACATGTTTTTATTGCAGATCGCTTGGAAATAATACCGCAATGATGCAAATCACCGAGGACACTCCACCGGACATGCTAGCCGGGGCAATGGACCTTACCATCCACTTGCCCACTAGTCGAACCGTTAAAATGTCCGTTGAGAGAAGGTAATCTATTACTTAGTAAAAGTTCGACTCAACGTTCAAGTTTTAGTACTCCGATGATGGATCTTCTGGTACAAATAACCACAGCGCATCATCTCCAACACTCCGGTCACATACTGCAGGCGCTGGAAATGGGGTCGACTTCCGGACCGACCGACAAAATTCTACCCTACAAACCTAATACGCCAATCGGCTCGTTGGAGACCCAGCACGTTAAAGTGGTATCGAAGAATAGAACGAATTCTGTACCTAAAACTTCGGCGATCGGGCAACAGCCGTTTGAAAGTACCTTCAGGTTGCAGGTTCACTTGCCTAGAAATCAACTCTACGTTATTAGAGTGAGCCAATATGTTTTCCTTGAAGATATTATGAAGAAAGTGTGCGATGAAAAAAATTTGGATATTAGAAAGTACGAATTTAGGCATCCAGGTAATTTCCTTATTGTACCTGGGATTAATACTACATGCATACTATGTCCGCTTCTGAATCATTCGTATAAAATAAGTTCTTTATGCTAATTGAATTTCACGTGATCAACAAGGTTCGCAGTAAGATTTGCAGTATTGGTGATCAGTGAATAGGGATGTGAATTTTCTTCAGGTAAATATTTATGTCCCCATTTTCTACGGGTTCAATTGAGGCGAATTGCGTATTTCTCACTTATCTGCACGTCATTTGTTTAATTATTGTCGCTGTAAGTGTCTTATCTCAATCCTCCATGAGATAGGAGTAACAATTATATTCTCTTATCTAAAAGCTTAATAGTGTACTGTATGGAAACGAGGTAAGCCACGCCGCGGAAATCGATCGATGTAAGCTTCTTTAAATATAATTTGCGCACAATTTGCAATGACGTACTCGAGCAGTAAATTATTTACATGTATATTTATACTTCAAATCAAATATTAACATAGTGGAAAATTCTTTATTGTGTTTACCTACCTGCTAATGCAAATTGAAGTAGATACCTACACTTTATTACTCCCACTGCAAACAAAACTGTCTCTGTGCCCCTTGTGAACCGCCATTTTTCTTTTAGGTCACTTAGATGAAGTACTAGATCCAAAGTTAACCCTCAGTGATTACCAAATAACGGAAGTCTATTTGGTTGCAAAGGGTACAGCGGGATTATCGCAGACGTTTTCATCCAACGACATAATGGCTTTGAAAAAAGAAGAAGAACGTAAACAGTTGCAGGCACGAACAGGAGGGGGTGTCTTTAATCTAATATTTAAGCGAGGCAAATCGGTAAGTTGAGTCGCGATGGTACTTCTTGTGCTACTCAAAAATTCGGCAGAGTTTTGGTTCTGGATCAGTTTCAAGTGATACCCGCTCAATATCTCCTAGTCACAGTGATGATTCACGCTCTGTAACCCCTCCGGGTATTCAGCAACAAATTTTGCCCGTTACACAGCAACAATCACCGATAACCGAAAAACCAAAGCCACCACAACGAAAGCGCAGACCAGCACCAAAGCCTCCCCAACAGAACTTGCCCAACAGCAAACCTTCGAGTCAAATTAGCACTATATCCGACAGTAATACCTCAGAGTTACAGCAGAAAGGTAGTGAAAATGGTTTAACCATCTGCCACTCTAGGAATAGCAGTGACAGCTCGGGCTACCATGAACCTTCAGTTTTGAGTGATAATTGTAATTTATCACTTCCAAGGCGAACCAAACCCAATATTATAAACGAGGTGGTTAACGAAGAAAGTCAATCTTCGGAAAGTAACCGAAGCAGTACCGGAAATTTGTCAAATATGTTAAAGTTTTCTAAGTCAACGACGAGTATAGCAAGTACGTATCAAAAGTCAACATCTACAAGTGGCTGAAAAAAAAATTTCAGGTCGTAAGAAGAAAGCCGCACCTCCTCCGCCTTCTTTGCTACAGTCGCAGAGTTTAGTCGAGAAACCTAGTCCCGTAGTTGCTAGTCCCATTGTAGAAGCGCAAGGTGAGTCCAATCCAAAAACATTAACACTGCACGATACCAAATGCACAGTTGAGATATCCAGCGTCGAAGAAACGCACTTAGACGGTCTAGTTTCGCCTGATATTTCAGAGCAAGCCTCAACCCCGGATTTAGAAGCTGATGAGAAAAGTAAGCGTATTAAGTTAAACTTTGAAAATGACTTGCAACCACACAAGAGCATTCCAAATGACTTGTGTAGCTCCAATTCGTTTCCTCAACTTTCAAGCAATGATACTCCTCTCATTACTTACATTAAACAAAATCTATTTGGGGAGTGTAACAGTACTGATAGCGACATTGAACACTCATTAACCCCTACGAAACATAGTATAAACAAGAAGTTGAGTATACATGATCCAACTAGACCTAGCTACCTGATTACTAAGCAAAACTCTAATGATAGCTTTAACAGTTTTGTAGCAAACGTAGACTTATTCTTTGGCAGTCGTATGGGCGAGTTTGTTTGAGTGTTCAGCAGTTATTGCATAACCCAAACTTCATTTATGCTTCGTTTTAAATGTATATTGCTTGAAACTACTAACGCTTTTGTAAATTTAGCACTTCTAACTTAGAATTTTTGCATGTTAGCATTTCCCGTACCCCTTCCAAGGACCAAACACAAAACCAAGCTTTCAGTGCTTAAATCGAAACCTGTAGAGTTAGATAAACGCTTTCCACAGGTACAGAATAGCGCAACTATCAGCGAAGAAAGCAAGACAGTAGGGGCTACATTAAGTTACAATAAAAAAGTACCTAGTGATAGTGAACTTTTCGCATTAAATAATGTTACTCACCCAACTAACGCATCTTTGGTTCCGAATTATTCAAAAAGCACGAGTGAACCACACATTGTGGCTTTAATACCGAAGAGCTGTGGAAATTCGCCTTTTCTCTCGATCAGTTCGCAGCGAAAATTCAACAAGCGAATGTCTCTAAGCAACGTTTTGGGTTCTGACTACAAACGCAAGGCCTTAAGCTCAAAAAGCGCAAGTCATATACCGAGTATGCTCGACGATTACGAAGTGAACGATTTCAACTTGGATATGTTTAAATGTAAGCCGGTGTTGGTGAGGCAGAAGAAAGTGTCACAAGAACGGCATGGAATTTACGATTTGGAATTCGATACAAACCGTAGCTCCAGCAACCCTTGTTTAATGGAGATGCCGGGTATTAGACGGTGGAGCAACATGCAAGATTTGGACGATCTCTCTATTGGTTCTGACTTTCACACACAGAAATGGGTGGTGGGTGGTGATAGTGATACAGGCATGTGTAGACTAATACTAAAACACATTTCATTCATTTCACCTGATAATGATTTTCTAACAAACACACTTTGTTGGTGAAGGTGTCTTGCATGTTTGTTACGTTACTGACATACTAATTCTTGGTTTATCACTAGGTACCAGATTTTCCTTTTCCTATAGATTTGACACGTAACAGGCCAATTGAATTGCACTTTCTATACTACCCATTGGTAGAGACCGTGATGGAGACCCACATTATCTATGTACTGCAACTGACCTGTTTTCAAATTAGGCGCAGGCGTATAATTGTTACGTTTGTTAGAAAAATGATTATCAATAATTAGTATTACTTAGATCTGCAAAACCATTACTTCACATAGGCACACAACATGTACTTTTATTACATGATTTGATTTGTATTACAGATTCCTTGTCGACAATACCAACGAAACAATCTGCACCTGCAAGCATATCATCATCCATAGCGTCGACGCCCAGTCACCTGTCTAAGACAAAAACTTTTACAAATAGCGTAATACCTGCTCAAAATGGAGAGCTCACATCATCAGTAGACAGACCTCAAATCAAGTACATGCAAAACCCCACTCCTCCAGACATCTATCCTTCAAAACCCACCTACGAAAATTCCGGTACGTTTGAATACCCCAAAGGTAATTTTACTGGTCCGGAAACGGAGTTGGAAAATGAGTGGCAGTACCAGCTCCCGTCTCCCCCCACTGCGTTTAGGGACCTTAGTCCAACTAATATGACGGACGTGACCAATTACGACACAGTCACGCTGGAAGAGTTTAAAGGGGACTCCGTTATCACGAATCCGATGCTCTTTGAAAAATTGGAACGGGTCAAAGATCGCCAAAGTGAAATAGAGACGGTCAGTGACGTCAACAGTACTTTAAGTGAGGAGGAAAGGCCAATGTTAAACAAGTTAACGCTGGAAAACCTCGAGAAACGAAAATCCCTAGTTTATAATAGAGAACTTAGTACTAGTCTTAAAATTGCTCAAAATTCTAATACGAACCATACGCGTTCTGAAGACCGAGTTCATGGTAGTCATTCAGATGTTATCAATGAGTTGGAAGATATAATCCACCACGGCCGAAGTAAAACTCTGTCTCGTCACAATAGTTGCGCCGACGATTACAATGCGGCTTTCGATAGACACTTACCAAACTTTCAGATATCTACATACGATAAACCGAAAAGCAAAATAAATATTTTTGAAGACGACAGTGTGAGGAGTAACGTCGAGATTCCTGTTAAAGATGAAGTTCCATATGATAATTTGAGGCAAACGTCGGAAAATTCGGCGGTTGAAAACGACACGTTCAAGAAACCTCAGGAGTTTGGTAAATATAAGGCGCTGACCAGAAGTAATTTCTTTGTGAAAAATAACCACGCACCTACTAATATAATGAGGTCCGAATCGTTCTCTTCCTCAAACCATAATATTTACAAGTGGAAGCCCCAAAATCCCGTGCAACGGTCGAAATCTCAAGTTGCCCTAAATGATTATAAAGAGCTTACAGAAGATGGTACTGAGTGTTTGACCAGATCAAACAGCTTGCTCGATGTTCCAGGGCTTCAAAGTTTAGAGGTAAGAGTAAATCAAATTAAACGGTCTTTTAACTCACTTTTATTTAGGTAATGAGGATGATCCAGACTAAGCTTGGTAATTCTACCGAACACATTTTTGAAAAAGAAGTTCAAAGTACACCACCACCGCTCATTGAGGAAGATAAACCTGACAGCACATTAACCACGAAAACATACAGGTACCAAGGTCCTCCCTCAATTAACCTCAGTACTTGGTCAGAGAGACCAAAGACGAAAGTAAGTCTGAAGGAAGACAAAGATTATCGAAGCAATGACACTTTTTCCCCGGAAAAATCCAATAACGTTAGCATTAAAGTGAATGGTGTGGAAACGATCAAATCCACCACCCCTGGTAACGTTATAATCAAAATTGGGGAGTCGGAATCAAAGAGCAACACGTTTTCGTCGCGGTTTCTCAACCACTACGCCGGCGTAGGTTACCGAAAGCCGCTTTCAAATGTAAATAAAATCGGAAACATCGGCCGACCTCATTCAATCGCCATGGATTTGGACATTGATATTTCGAGAGTGCCCGTCGTTCGTTCGGTCGAGCTAAAGAAACCGCTAAAGGAAGTTAACAACAAATCTGTAACGCAAATAAATTCAAACGAACTGGTGAATAATATTAGGAATAAATTCGTTGAAATGCCAGAGCCAGCGAACAAAGTGTGTAGTACAAATAATGAGTCCTGCAATGAGGCGGATTCGTTACCAAAACCAGTAAATAGAATTAATAGTTTTGCTCAAAGTCGATATGGGCCTACAGTCGTTGGTTTTCGAAGCGTTGACAATGATAATGAAAGCGTGCGGCGAAGATCTTGGAACTTATCGAACACCTTACCGTCCAAGATTAGCGCTGATCATTCAACGAAAACGTACACCACTAACACAAATGTACCATTTTCGCAAGTTACATTGAAAAGGGTTGAGTCTAATAAAGTGTCGAGTGGAAACGATGCGGATACTACCGATTCACGATTAAATGGAAAAACAACTCTGTACAATACCTATTCATCTGGAAATATTTATTCTTTGGAGAGTGAGGTAGCAAATACTAACATCCCACCACCTCCACCAACAATACCAAAAATTACAAATACTAAAAGGAAAAGTGTAAAAACGTTTGAACCTGTAACAGACCCTAGAGACGACTTACTTAACTCAATTAGAAGCTTTGGAGGCATTAAAGGTCTTAAACATGTAAAAGTGTAAGGGTCGACGTCAACGAATACAATTTATAGTCACTTAATTAGATGTACATACTGTAGATACTTTTTCAAATGTATTTCCCAAAAACATACAAATGTGCCTTACTGAACTTGTAGAAGTTTCTTTAATATTTTTTTTATTAACCATCAATCAATATTTCTGTGTGAGAGTGATCGGAGATTAGGTCACTTAAAACAATTATTTATTCACGTATGTACTCTTCATATTACTCCAGTATTACCTCAAAGTTTTTCCTTGTTGATCATGAATTTCTAACTTAAAATAAAAAGCGTTCTTACGAATGTATTATTTAAAACTGAATTTGTAAAGAACTTATTAAGGGACCAAAGGTATAATTGGAATACAAAGCTATTTATTAATCAACTGATGAATTACTCTTGTACATAATTATCTATATTATACTTTATTATTATTATAAATTGTTAAATTTATCGTTGGTGTTTATTTCTTATACCTGTAACACATTCGAGTAGTATAGTAACGCCGATTTTAGCGCACTTTGACCTTGAGTTCTGCACATGCGTCAATTCCAAAGCGTGCTTGTTGCCTAAACCCACTGAAGGTCGTCGTGGTTGTTGTCTAAACTAACTAGGGTTGTTGTCTAAACTCACTGAAGGTCATCGTGGTTGTTGTCAACACTCGTAGGGTTCTTACCCGAACATTAGTAGCCATGCTTTCAATCAGTCCAGTATAGTGTTCCTGAACCAAAATGGATGTACTCGCGTCTAGGCTTGATCTTCAACGAAATCGAGCACCCATTACGATCGGGTAATGCCTTCGCGACCTTCAAGGGGGCACACAGAACTCGCCTCTAGGCTTGATCTTCAGCGGACAGCGACATTAGTTCAGGTAAGAACTCTACCGGTTTAACCTTCAGTGGTTATTTAGATTAAACAACAACCACGATCGAATTGAATTTAGACAACAACCACGATGACATTCAGTGAGTTTAGACAACTCAGTCCTCGTTAGTTTACATATCGGATTTATGGCTCAGTGGTAGAGCATTGGGTTATAAATCCGGAGGTCGGGTGTTCGAACCTGGGTTATTGAGGTGAATTTTTCATCTGTGGGGGAGATGGAAATTACCTTAGACCATTTCCGAGCATTCTACCGGCTATTCCGAATTAGGTTGTCCTGCAGTTTTCCTAATTCGTAAGGTAAATATCGGAGTAGTATAAACCAACTTAAGACCTTCTGCAGAGGCACCTCTAAATAGCATTATGCGGGTCACTCTGTAATTGGGCGCATGCCTGTTGAGGGCCCAAAACAAGAGAGGGATAATAATAATAATAATAAAAATAATACAGGTCCACCCAATAAAATTACATGTCCTAGCACAGTTAAAAAACACAAAACTCCTTCTTCACAGAAACACACCACGTTATCACAACCCACTCGTACTCAACCCAAACGCAACAATCTTAACAGCACTACAGGCTCACAAAATACTGTAATGTCTCCACCAATAACCCAAGCAACCACACAAATACAACCTCAAGAACAAAGAAACACAATAAATACAAGTAACGCAACATGCACTACAAAGACAGATCCACCCAATAAAGTTACACGCCCTAGCATAGTAAAAAACACAATACTCCTTCTTCTCAGAAACAACCCACTCGTATACAACCGAAGCGCAAAAACTGATAGAAATTAAAAGAGAGGCGATATTTAAAACGTACTTTAAATTGATAAAGTTTGAAATAAATGCTCGTATATGCATCTTATTCGATAAGTTAATGACTTTTGCATGTTCCTAACCCTATTAGACATTAATTTCTGATTCACCTGTGATGGAAACAATCATTTTAATGCAAAATCATAATTCTGACAACCAAATTTTTGTCTCGCATATTAATGGCTCACTTAAGAGTATAAATGTACTATTAAACTACTCACTAAAGCGTATTCATATTGTAGGTATCATTAATGTGTAGGTAAATAATTTGCATTTTTATATGTTGAACTTGAAGCATTGAAATTTGTATACACTATACACCTTATCCTTTAGGCAACAGTTCACTAGTCAAAGGGAAAAAAAACGACTTCCATTTTACTCTTTGTCTTTTGTTACATGTTACCTGCTAACGGGAGGATACGTATGAGTACGTAAAATCTTTGAATATATTTTATATTCAAAGGTACGGTGCAGAGTTAACATATTCTTGTAGTACCTACATTTTTTAAACATATTTCTCTTTAGGCTGCTACGTTAAGTTTATATTTTCCTTTTGTCAAGCATTTTAATTTACCAGATTGCTGGTTTATCCATTAGTAATGTGTTTATAGGTACTTTAATTGTATGCTTTTCTCCACTTTACCTTCAATTAACTTTATCATAATTTGATCTTCGTTCTTTAATATTTGGACATTTTCACAATTAAGAATTATAAATCCTTTGCATTTTCTTACACTTTTCTTTGCACGTTGGCATAAGAAATAAATTTTAGACCCTATTGACCAGTCAATTATATCCGCGCCGCTTTTTACAGTGTTTTTACTTTTTATCAATGTATAATAGTGTTGGGTTGGTTTCAAAATATCTTACTGCTTGTCCTGTTTCTTGAAATGATGTGGTAAACGCCATTATACGAGAATATATAGCATTTCTACTATTGGTATTTTACATATTAATAATTAGTTGTACGTCGTTTTAACCACTTCATTCAATATCTTCTTTCTCAATAAACATGGTTGCATTCTTCAAACTGTATAGAGCAGTGGCGGCTCGTAAGCTGCGTAGAAGGTAGTGCCAAATTGTGTCCCCCTCCCCATTATTTTAAATGTTCAAATTTTTGTTTTCATATTATTCCAGTTATTTAGATTTTGAGTATAATTCGAATATTTATAATGCAAGTGACGGAAACAAATCTAGCCCCTTTAATTTCTTTGGAGGCTTGTTTCATTATAAGTATACTTCAAGCATGCATTCCAGTAATTCATTTTGTGTTGTTTTAGATGAGAATTAGCGGATTTTTTTGACAAAAAATCGTATGGAAAGTGTTACTTTTTTCACGATTTGTACTATCTGTTTCAATGGCGTTTAGTCCGATCTATAAACAATAGCAACATTTTATTTGCCGTTTTATTAATGAGGCCGAAGTATCATTTTCAACAATAGTTGTACAAATAACTATTCAAATCTTTATCTAAACAAGTACTGAAATTTATTAATTCTTTCAATACCTACTCCTTTATTTTCGGATTTATCGCTATTGTCGAGTTCAGACACATTTCGTTTTTTAACAATATTTAAGTCCGGTAACGGCCTGCTTAATTGCTTTATTTAAAGTCTATCTTCCAGAGAATGCATGGAAAAAGATTTATTTAAATGATTTTTTAATTTGTGTATTTTACGTAACAATTAATCCGGGAAGTGTAATCTTACACAGAAGTAAAAAAAAATTGTTTGACTTATAACGACTGAAACAAGGAAAACGGCGCAAAGCATAGTAATACACGTATACATTATTCAATTGTGCTTATGAGCCAAACTTCTGATGGCTCAAGTTGTACGTATAAAACGCTACTTCGGTTTCGCTCCTCCCACCCCTCTACTCCCCGCGGAAGTCGGCACTTGTAGGAAAATACGAGCCAGTTTCAGTTTGGCACGGCTCGACCGTCTGCGAAGTCCACGGATAAGCACGAATGAATTCTTCTTGGTACCTAATTTATCAAATCATTTACTTTTTTTGTTTTAAGTTTTAAAACACAATTATGTACTCTAGTGAGCACATAATAATAGTTAATTATATTTTAAGAATTGATAATTAGCAGGTTCCTTGAGGTGGTGCCATGGCTCCTTGGCTCTTTATAGAGAGCCGCCCCTGGTATAGAGGCTTGTTGTTGGGTGAAAATAAAACTAATAGATTTTTGTATCTGTTTTTGGTGATCGATTTCGGTTTTTTATAATCAAGCCTGGCTACAAGATGTTAGTTTTAATGATGTTTTATAGGAACATTATTACCGCCATTGACTTAAAATTGTTTAAACATGTCACATAAGTACCTTTTAGGAAACATCGTTCAATAATTCAACCTCATCCCTATAGCACCATGTAATAACATGCTTAAACAACTTTAAAACAATGGCGGTAAAATAAGGTTCTTATACAATATCATTAAAACTAACAAACATCTTGTAGCTAAAAACCTGAAGATAGTTATTAAAAGGAAATCGATCGCCAGACAGAAACAAGAAAACATTTCAGAGGTTAACGAAATTATAAGAAAATAAACGCTTGAACACGGTTGATATATTCTTTCGATATTTATCTCCTTACCATTGAATAATAAATTCAGATTTATTATTCAATGTCCTTACTTACTTTACATTACATACACAATTACTATCGTTAATCTAGATCCAGTTTTCTAAAAGAACCCTCCAAGCCGAAAACTTCAGAACAGGTTTTTGGAGTACCTGGTCGTAATCGTTCGTCAATCTTACAATGTTCGTCCTTAAGGAACCAATCTCGGTAACTTTCCACCTTATCCTTCCAAAAAACTACAACAAACAATACCAGTTTATCGCGCATTTGTTTTCCGCACTGTTACCCGTCAGATCCTTTACAGAGCCATTGCAACCTCCAAACTCCTGCGGTAACAAGTCCTTTGGAATTTTCTTAAATAACTCCTCAGAGTTGTTCTCACTATACAATCCCATCTAAGAAAGGTAATTGTAAAAAGGCGAACAACTGGTTTCACATCCTTACCCTTTGTTTTAGTTTTTCTGAGCAGAAAACTTTGAAAACATTGTAACAAGTTTCGAAAATTTTCGGAACGTGTGAGTAGTACGCTCCTTTCATTCTAAAAGGAAATCCCTTTTCTTCAATCACTGAGTATCGCTGTAAACTGGCCGGAGTCATCTGAATAGTATATTTCGACGGAAAATTTTTACAATAACTCCACAATAAGATACCACTAACGACAGCGTTGTCGTCCTCACGTAGCAGTATATCCAGGACCATATAACTTAGCTTAGCAATGTTTACCATCGTCATTAGATTAGGATTAAGATTATCGCTGTACCGAAGGACGATTATTCTATGGCCATTTTCTTTTGCCACATTGGGTAGTGGAAGAATGAAACCAGCTTCTAAGATAGCTTGCAGTTCGGGTAGTAAGGGGTCTCTATTTGTGAACACTTCTGGTGCCATCGTTCTTATTGTAAAGTATCTGTCCAACCTTTCTTTTGTGCGTTCTAAACTGAATTTGCTGCATCGAAGGAACGAAACCAGCAACTGGTCACCTAGAAAGCGTGTTAAATTGAATACAAGTGAAGACATTTGGGTTACCGATATCAAAGTTGAAATGCGGTTGCTTATTGATCCAATCTCTTATTTGCTGAATGTCGCTAGTAAGACGAGAATTCACTTCGTTCAATTCTTTCTCGGCAATCTGTTGCAGTTCTTGTGGAAGTGGGCGCACTTTTGTTGTCGGTGCTGAAGTTTCCACTTTCATGATGGTAAAATTTGTAAACTGCTAAAAATTAAAAGAGCCTCGATATTTAAAACTAAACTACCTTAAATTTGTAAGTTTGGAATACAATACTTATATCAAAAGAAGTAATCAAATAAATGTTTATTTCGTTATCGATTCTAATGTTTATTTGATCTTCGGACCTAATATTTTGAAATCGATAATATCCTTAAGGAAAAATAAACAAGTATTTGACTAATTTTTTCGATATATCTAGTACCCAAATAATTATAATATAGAGCTATACTTACATCAAGAAAATTTGGAATAGGTACATATAATATACTATGATCTTATTAATTTGCGTATGTAGTTAGTTAATGACTTTTTCATGTACCCGATCCTATTACACTGCCATTTCTAATACGCCTATGATGGAAATAACCATTTCAATACAAAATTATAATTCTGACAATTAACTTAATTAAAATTAATGGCAGACCTAAGTGGATAAATATTCTAAACTAATTGCATTTTTATATGTTGAAGCATTAAAATGGTATACACGGTAATTTACGTATAAGAATGTATGCTCATTAAGGAAACAGTTCACTAGCTAAAGTAAAAAAAAACTAGTTCCATTGTGCTCCTGCCTTCTTGTTACATGATTATCTCGCAAACCTCTTGCCCACCTGAGCACTGCAACAGGAGGGTATGTTGTACATTGAGTGCACTGAATACTGAAATGTTAATCTTCCTTTTGTCGTTCTGAGATGGACACCAAGGTACATTTTAATGTATCAGGTTGCTAGTTGATGTATTCACGAATGGAGTTGGTGATCGTTACCTGTTATTTGAATACAGGGTCGTTATAACAAACATCTCCCCAAAAATAGAGATGCGTTTTGACTTTTTGAAGAATTCGCAACCATATTTTCGTATTTTTCTATAAGTATTTTTCTCTGTAACGGTAGGGAAACTTTAATATACCAATTAAGGTCTCAAGGGCATTATAATGGAAATAACACCCGAGGCCGACAAAGTACGTCGGCTGTATTATAGTCCAGTCATATTAGAAGTTTCACCTCGGAATGAGAGATAATAATCTGTAAACTTGTATGAACCTTTGTTTTGGCATTCTGAAAGTTGTTTCAAAAGTCTCATAAAATCTCGTGTCCGCTGAAGGTCAATGGTCACAAAAATCGGTTTTTTGCAAATATCTCGTTTCCTATTGTTTGAATGCCATTTGCATTTATTATAAAAATTGTAGAAAATAAAGTTCTCTATAACTTTTGTCCCAACATTTTTTATATACTCAACCGTTTTTGAGAGACAGTGCAGAGGGTGCGCCGCGCTTACAGATTTACAGCATAATGCAAGATCAACTATAAGTGCTAGTAAATAATACGCAGTATGACGGTTAATCACTAAAATATATATAGTTATAGATAACTTGCATTGTTTATTAATTAATACATCATATTATATTTGTTACGCGCTGGTACAAAGGATTAAAAACGATTAAGTGGACTGTATGATGAAAAGGAAATATTTCTCGGGCCTTTCCTAAAGAGTAAATTGAAGAGAAATGTACGCAAACAAACTATTTATTACTTTATACAAACAAAACATGCAAATGACAAAATTAATGTGTAATATGAACTAAGTATGTATTTGACTGTAATTCTTGGCGGACCGGTAAAGGCGGCTCACTGCAAAGTTGAGGTTGACAGGACGAATTAATAAAAAGGGAACTTACTTGTTTAACGACGAAGACGAGCGCTGGTGGTTGAATTGTCCACTACGGTGGATAGACAGGCGACGAAGAGTTTCAGATGTTGCTTGGAATTGTTGGTTTCAATTTCAAGTACCTACCTACTAAAAGTTATTGAACGACGATCCCCTTTTTTCCGCGCATGTTTGTTTTTAAGTAAGTTGGAAAGGGAAAACGGAAGGTAACGAAGTAAAGTGGTAAATAGGAAAAAACGAAATGTTAAGGGAAAATTAAATTACAACGGGTTGCAACAATATTTTTCATTTATGGAGTTATTTATTACTTACCTATTTTTGTAATAGAATACACTTGTTGAGTGGAATACTTGAAAGTAGGTATATTGTAATTATTTTCTGAAATGGGAGAACGCATATTGTTGGCTGTTGGGTGTCTACTTAAGTCAAGATACTAATAAATCACTTTTTTTTTAAATATAGCATTAGACTACGTCTATTTGCCAAATAACTATTATTTGATAGCACGAATTGATGTTAAATTTCTATTTTGGATATAAGTAGGCATAAGGCAAAAGAGTAGAGACACTAATGGGGAAGGATTAGCTCTTGGTATAGTAGAGAGGTGGGGGTCTGCATTTAATTTGCAATTTAAGATTGTATGATTTAGATCACTAATACTTTCATTATCACAAGTACAAAGGCCGGAGGGCTGTCCGACCGAGATCTCAGCAATTACAATAGCTAGAGACTTTAAATTTTCCCTAAAAGCTTTTTGATGTAATGTAGATGTGCAGGCTCTATTTTGAGTTACATTACTTGTGAGATCGATAATTGAAGAAAATAATTTCAATAGGGCTTTCGGAGGTGCTATAATTTTACCGTTAGATAGCGTTACCAGCGTATTTTTGAAAAAAAAATACGCTATTATTATATTCGTTATGGCTGGCTGGCTGGCTGTCCGGCTGAGATCTCAGCAATTACAATTGCTAGAGACTTTAAATTTTCGCTAAGAGCTTTCTGTTATAGTTTAGATGTGCAGGCTCTAGTGTATTTTGAGTTAGATTACTCGAGAGTTCGATAATTTTAAACTTTGCTAATGAAATACTGATCTGCATTACCAAAAATGCGGTTTCATCATGCATATGCTGATTTACAACCTGTTTTGTAAAGAGTATGTGGTATTAGTTTTGAAAACATTAATTAAATCCTTAAAATCGCAAACCTGTGTTATCTGTTTCAGATTGCAAGCATTTTTGGCAGCTCTTGTGCTACCTCATTTCTTGTAATTCCGCAATGCGCCTTGGTCCAGGTCAGTGCAATTGTTTTACTATTTTTTTTAAATCAATGGTATGTTTTTTAAATATTTAGTAATAACGTATTTTTTGGACGATTTGTGGAAGGCGAATTAATAATTGTTATAATAAACGCAAATAGCATTAAAACCATACCATAACAACGAGATATTTGTAAAAAAACAATTCTTATGACCTTTGACTTTTAATATTTTAAGACGCGGACTCGAGATTTTATGACACTTTTGAGACAACTTTCCTAGCAACTTTCAGAATGCCAAAATAAACGTTCATCCAAGTTTATAGCTTATTATCTCTCATTCCGAGATTATTAATATTGTTTGCCTTAAATGACTGGACTTGTAAGCTATATTTCTGTTAACGCTGTGGCGCCTTCAACGTTTTATGTCTTACTTTAAAAATATAAAACATTCTATTTTACGCAGCTGGCTGGCGATTGATTTTGACGGTTGGTATGCATTTTCCATTTTTGCTTGTTTATCTTAAAATTTGTCAAATAAGCTTTACAATATAAAATTAGTGCGAACCTTAAATTCAACATGGCCCTTGAACAACTCCCTGAAGAAGTGCTTGCGCGAGTACTCAACGAGGTCATACCAAAGAAGTCGGTAACAGCATTTGCAAAAAAGTTGCAAAAGTTAGAAGAATGGAAACGCAGGACATCCTTTGAATGCCGTATTAGCAACGTGCTTATTTTCAAGAGTTGTCGGAGAGTTTTGTTCGCATTTCTTTATGCACAAATATAATACTTACTTGAAAAGGGGTTGATTGTTCACAAATATCTAAGTAATTATAGGTAAGAAGCCTCTCAACTGTTTATAATATCTGTACCTATCGGGAACTATTAATACACTGACGGTACAACATTTGACAATCCCTCAAAGAAGTAGGTAGGTACTGTTCTTCTTAAATGCTGTTAGGTATAGAAACGAATAAATAAAATAACGCCCTTGGGAATTATGATAATTCCGTTGGGCGTTATATAGGTAGGTATTATAATACACCTAAAAACTAGTGAATTATGATGTTATAAAAAGGTATAAACGGAAATAACCATATTTTTTATTTATTTAGAACAAGCAAAAGCTTTTATGAACAATGCATTTTTCTCAAAAAGTAAATAATAAAAATGTTTTTGCTTTTATAAAGTCGATCCGGGAATATACAATATGTCCAAAAACACACATTAGACATAGAAGAGTAAACATTTTAAAATCACTGGTTTTAACTATAGCCCTAAAGTAAACAAGTTAAAAAGTAATCGTAAACGATTTACATAGAGCGCATTTCCACTTGCATTCATTTCCCATTTGCAAGATGCAACTTTTGTTAAAATCGTAAAAATCCGGCCACAAATATGAAAGATAGCGTTGCACATGGGCAATCCATTGTTGACGTGCTACTTCAATTTCAGTTTATGAGAAGAATTTCATTTCAATGCGCATGCGCAAAATAAAATTTTGAAACTGGTGTTTGATTTTCCTTTATTCCAAGTGCCTATGTATCAAATTTCATTCAAATACTTTTATAAGTAAAAAGGTTTGCAATTCGGTTTATAAATGGTCGAGATGCGAAAAGGGTACTGTGAATTTTGAATCGATTCGACTCAACTTTAGGCATTGCGTATTATATGGCTAAAGCTATGCCCATATTGTATTTCATGCAATTCAGTAAATAACTAACGGAGATGTAAAAGCGATCGGACATTTCTAAACAAAGTTATCGTTCACACGGACAGATACAGGGATAGACAGACAAAGGAACAGTCGGACAGACCAACAGACAGACGACAGACAGCAATACAAAATTATAAACGATCTCTAGGATCGTTAATAAACGGCAAAAGTGTAAAATTATGGAACATGTAAAAAACGGTTTTTTGTTTTTTTACAATAACTTTTTTTGTAAGCGGTACAGAAAAAAATCCTTCCTCGGTGCAAGACTCGACACCATAACGAACCAAATAGCGAAAAAAGTAGAACAATAGCTCTTAAGATAAAGAACTAGTAGCGTCGCAAAACGTGAGGACGGACGGACGGACGGACGGACGGACAAAGTGGCCACAATAGCGCATTTTTTTATTTGTGTGGAAATGCGCTAAAAAACGCGTTGAATATAGCATTCTCAGGGCCAAGAAAGATTTAAATTTGTTCATGTACATATTATACAACGCGAACGTAAAAGCCCAATATTATTATTCATATTATTCAGAAATCCAAAGATAAATTCTAAAAGTTACACAGACCTTAGTCTTTAAAAGAATTGTTAATTATAAGTAATTAGGTGGTAGCTAATAACCGAAACTCATTTCGAGGAATTATTTTTTTTTATGTTTCAATTTCATTTGAATCAGAGTGCTGTAAATTGTTATAAACATTATCATTGAATAAGGAATCTCAATATTATATACTGCCACGTATACGCTTCAGAACTTTCGCTAATGGCAGAATCGTCATATGGACATTGTTTAATGAATGCCTGTATTTAAATTATTTTACAATCCGTATCAGTTGTTATTGCCTACACGGAAGTCTGTGCTATCACCGTAGATCCCAATACGATGAGCAATAACGACGTCTTAAATACTTGTAAAGAGGAAGATTTAAATGAAGATAGTATAAGCATACAAAATGGTTTGGAAATGATTCGAGAGTGGTTAAGAAAACAACCACACCTGAATGTCAGAGATGGTAAGTTTTTCCAAAGTGTCCGAGTTCCACAAATTCTTGTTACAGATGACGAATCGTTGTTAATATTTCTAAGAAGTTCAAAATATAGTATCCAACGTACTAAAGAAAAACTCGACAATTATTACTCCATGATCACCTTGCTTCCAGAGATGTTTGACGACCGAGACCCATTCGCGTCTGATATTCAAACGCTTTTAAATGTAGGGTAAGTTACGAGTATACACTGAGGAACTCCTACGTCTCGACTCGAAAAGTCCAAATCCACACCCTTATTTCTGGGTTGCATTGTGCACGTATCTTGAAAGGTTTAAAATTTAATGTGACAAAGAAATGTAACACACTGGAGAACTTTTAAATAACAGAACAGATTTGTAGTAGTTCGAGGCCACAATTTATGCAGTGAATGGAGAGTGGATTAGAGACTCTCACTGAAAAGAATATCTCCAAATGAAAAATTTTGATGGCAATCTTTGCAAATCATCATTCCCGTCTTGTGGGAAAATGTGCGAATTTGTCTACTACGGTAATCATAAGGATTCGCGCAAAATATGTAGTTTACTATAGGGCGGCGATATGCCAATACGTGCTATTTAAATTGTTTACACTCACCTATGCCTTGGTCTGGTACATTTAATGATAAAATTGTACGTATGGGTTCCTTTAAACGTCGTAATACATTTTCATTTATTATTATTGAAGAACTATGGTTCCACTGCCAAATACCTTGGGTAAATGTGGACCCAGAATTATTTTCTACGGGTGTGGTTATGATCCCGTTCTTGTACCGTACACCACCATTATGAAAGTGTGTCTAATGATGTACGAGATTTTAATGGCCGAGGATCTTAATACTGTTGCATTCGGTATTTACTTGCTATTCGACTTAAAAAGATTTTCGCTAAAATATGTCTTACAATTAACTCCGGCTATTCTGACTCAGCACGTCTACTGTACCGAAACAGGATACCCTCTGAGACTCAAAGGTATACAGATCGACAATTGTCCACCAGCTATGGACGTTATAATTAAAATAGCGAACGCTTGTTTAAAGGGTAAAGTTAGTAACAGGGTAAGCACAATTTACAAATTCATTTACAAATAATGTTATGTATGGTTCCTTTTCAGTTCCATGTCTACAGGGAGGATAGCAATTTACAAAAGGAAATTCCGCTTGAAATGCTGCCCATAGAGCATGGTGGAAAAAATGGATCAATTAAAGAGCTGGGAGGTTAGTATTCAACTTCAAGAAGCTCTGCGTTAGGTCCATGTTTCAGCAATTTGGAAAAAGAAAATGGAATCCTATAGAGAGTGGTTTCGAGAAAACGCTAAATACAAAACTAATGAAAATCTTCGACCCGGTCCACCAAAAACCAGTGACAGTGAGCTTGGAGTCGATGGATCGTTTAGAAAATTAGCAGTTGATTAATTAAGTTTTTTTGAATTTTCAGTTTGAATTAGATCAAATATATTGTATGTTAATAGTTTAGGTAGATTTATTCCCACTCCAAAAAGTGAGGGTACTGTAGCAGTAGATACCAGTTGACCGATCACGAATGTAAAAATAAAAAAGAAACATGTGCTATAAAGACCGGTTCCCAGACAACGCAAGTACAAATCTAATGAAACCTCCGCCCTAAAAAAAACAAGTACCGATGAGCTTGGACTCAGTGTTACCATTTAAGAAATTGGGGATTGATTAATTTAAATGTCCCATATCCATACTTGTCAAACTGTTATGATGCTGTGTTCAAAGGAGGTGTGTGCAAACAAAATGATTTTCTTAGTCTGGCAACTTAAAGTAGCCCATCTGATCTCTATTTCCCTTCATTTTGTAGTCAAACTTAGATGAAATGAAAGTTGATGTATACTCTATGCAGTCTTTCCAATAGTGAAATTAAATTGTACTTTCAAAGGATTAGTTTTCAAGATATATCCATTATCCAGTTCTTCGTAACCACACAAGAATGTTGCGGATTGTAACGAGTGGTCGCTTTAGAATCAGAAATAAAGGTAATTTTTCGAATTTATATTTTGGTACGCACATTTGCACATGTACCGCTCAATAGTGTACTTCAACAAGATATGTGAGGCGATAACGAGCCATATCAAGAAACGTATTGCAGCAAGCGAGCGATCTCAAACCTTATTATGAAATCTTCCGTGGGTAGTAAGCTCCTTATGTCTATTTTGCAACAGTGGAATAAAGAAGCACGCAAACTGTTCAAACTACTAATGAAGTTCGTAATTTAAGGTTGATTATTTGAATCATTTTGGTGTATTGTTTCCATTAATTTCTACGATAGGCTTGCTGCCTTCCACTCTAAGATAGTTTTAGTTAGTTATCGTTTAGAATTTAACATTTCGGTCAGTAACATCACAACAAAATTGTATCCTAGTTTTTCGGCGAGTTTAAGATTAAAGGATTAATAATTTTTACTGAGATAGCTGGCAAGTAAATGAATAATACAGCATGCGGTCCCCAAAAAAAATTCATGGTTACAAAAAAGCTCGCGATTTCCAAAAATTCAATATTATCAAAAGAAATTCGCGATTATGGAAAAGGCTTGCGATTATGTACTTCAAAAAACTAATCAAACTTCGAGCTGAACTTCGAGAATACGACTTGCTCTGGTGGGCTTCGTGGTGCAGCATTCTTATGCTAGCCGTTCGTCGTTCATCTAATCGCTGTAGCTGCCACGCGGGCGGCTTAATATTATCAGTAAGTATGTACAGTCATTGACCGGACTAATGGCCTTCGAGTACAACAGTACATTAATTGCAGGAACGCAATCACTAACTATTTACTTTCTCTACTTTGTTAATGAAAATCCCCGAAGCAATAGTATGCGTTCTTGTCATTATTCTTCTACTTTAATTTCGATTGATATATTCTGTGTACAAAAGCAGCTTACTTATGCTACATTAATCTAGATCCATCTTTCTAAAAGAACCCTCCAAGCCGAAAATTTCAGAACAGGTTTTTGAAGTACCTGGTCGTAATCGTTCGTCAATCTTGCAATTTTCGTCTTTAAGGAACCAATCTCGGTAACTTTCCACCTTATTCTTCCAAAAAACTACAACAAACCAAAACCTGCTTAACGCGCAAGTTTTCTGCATATTGTTACCCGTTAGATCCTTTATAGAACCATTGCAACCTCCAAACTCGTGAGGTAATAGATCTTGTGGAACTTTCTTAAATAACTCCTCGAAGTTGCCCTCACTATATAATGCCATCTAAGAAATTTCTGTAAAATGGCAAACTGGTTTCACACCTACGCCTACCCTTTGCTGTAGTTTCTGTGAACCGAAAATCCCACTAACAACAGCGTTGTCGTCCTCCCGTAGCAGTATATCCTCGATCATTTAACCTAGCTTACTAAGGTTGACCACCGTCATTAGATTGGGATTAAGATTGTCGTTGATCCGAAGGAGTATTATTCTGGGGCCATTTTCGTTTGCCACTTTGGGTAGCGGAAGAAAGAAACCTGCGTTTAAGATGGCCTGCAATTCAGGCAGTAAAGGGTCTCTGTTTGTGAACGCTTCTGGTGCCATCGTTCGGATTGTAAAGTATCTATCCAACCTTTCTTTTGTGCGTTCTAAACTGAATTTGCTGCATCGAAGGAACGAAACCAGTAACTGGTCACCTAGAAAGCGTGTTAAATTGAATTCAGACGAGAATTCACTTCGTTCAATTCTTTCTCGGCAATCTGTTGCAGTTCTTGTGGAAGTGGGCGCACTTTTGTTGTAGGAACCGTAGTTTCCACCTTCATGATGGCAAAATTTGTAGACTGGTTAAAATCAAGAGAATCGCGATATTTAAACCGTTAATGATCTAATTTAAATGTTTAAAGTATGAATTCATTTGCGTACTCATGTTATTAACTTGCGTATGCAGTAAGTTTATGGATTTTTCATGTAATGCTAACAATTACACTGGTAGTTCTGGTTCGCGTATGATGAAAAAAATTATTTAATTATACAAAATCATAATTTTGGCAACACATTTTTTTTCTCACACATTGATGTTTACTACATACCGTCTGCAATCGGCGATGAAATGGTATGGCTCATCATCTTCATTTTCCTACTTTTATTTCGTTCGACATATTCTCATTGCAAAAGTGACGTCTGTCTACTTCCTTTACAAAGCCATATTGCATCCTCAAGCTCCTGCGGTAATAGATCCTTTGGAATTTTCTTAAATAAGTCCTCAAGGTTGTTTTCACTATATAATCCCATCTAAGAAAGCTAGGTATATGTCTGGTTTCACACCTTATACCTACCTACCCTTTGCTTTAGTTTCTCTGAACCGAAAACTTTCAAAATGTTGTAAAGAGCTTCGAAAATTTATAGAAAGCGTCTCTCCCTTCATTCTAAAAGGAAATCCCCTTTCTTCAAATACCGAGTATCATTGCGAACTGTATGGAGTCAACTGAATGGCGTATTTGCTCCAGAATAAAATAAAACTCTCGAATTCCAAACATAGTTCAAGATTATCAAAATAAACTCGCGATTACCGAAAAGGCTTGCGATTACTCAAAAAAATTAAACAACCGAAGTAGGCAATTACTGATCATATTCTTTCTTTAGTTTGTAAAACGAAATCGCCGAGGGAACACTGCGCATTCTTATAATTATTCTGCTACCATAATTTCGTTTAATAATGATAATGCCTTTATAGGTATGATGAGACTAATAAGACAAACAATTAAGAGTAGAGGCGGAATTCAAATAAGCTGCTCTTCCACTGAACCTCTATCGTAGTATAAATTATCTAAGGTTGCGCAACGTGAACTAACATTAACAATAAAAATTACTTAATAAGAAAACAAGTGAATCTATTGGTTAAAACAAATTGCCTAAGGCTCATTTTAAGCTGCATTATTTTGAAATTCGAACAGAACCTTCCATAGTTGTTTCTTGATGTGTTGATCACCAAGACACCTGTTATTCAAGAAAACATTTCATTCCAAAGTGTAACGATATTATGCGGAAATGAACGCTTGAGCACCTTTGAAATATTCTTTGTACAAAGTTAAAATTATAACATTAATCTAGATCTAGCTTTCTAAAAGACCCCTCCAAGCCGAAAACTTCAGAACAGGTTTTTGGAGTACCTGGTCGTAATCGTTCGTCAATCTTACAATGTTCGTCCTTAAGGAACCAATCTCGGCAACTTTCCACCTTATCCTTCCAAAATACTACAACAAACCAATACCAGTTTATCGGTCATTTTTTTGCATATTATTACCCGTCAGATCCTTTACAGAGCCATTACAACCTCCAAACTCCTGTGGTAATAAGTCCTTTGGAATTTTCTTAAATAACTCCTCAATGTTGCTCTCACTGTATAATCCCATCTAGGAAAGGTATGTAAAATGATGACCTGGTTTTACATCTATACATTACCCTTTGTTTTAACTTGTCTGAGCAGAAAACTTTAAAAATATTGTAACAAGCTTCGAAAATTTGCGGAACGTGTGAGTAGTACGCTCCCTTCATTCTAAAAGCAAATCCCTTTTCTTCAATCACCGAGTATCGTTGTAAACTGGCTGGAGTCAACTGAATGGCGTATTTGGACGGACAATCCTTACAATAACTCCAGAACACAACACCACTAACGACAGCATTGTCGTCCTCCCGTAGCAGTATATCCAAGATCATATAACTTAGCTTAGCAATGTTGACCATCGTCATTAGATTGGGATCCAGATTGTTGCTGTACCGAAGGACGATTATTCTGTGGTTATTTTCTTTTGCCACATTGGGTAGTGGAAGAATGAAACCTGCTTCTAAGATAGCTTGCAGTTCGGGTAGTAAGGGGTCTCTGTTTGTGAACATTTCTGGTGCCATCGTTCGTATTGTAAAGTATCTATCCAATCTTTCTTTTCAACTGGTCACCTAGAAAGCGTGTTAAATTGAATACAAGTGAAGACATTTGGGTTACCGATATCAAAGTTGAAATGCGGTTGCTTATTAATCCAATCTCTTATTTGCTGAATGTCGCTAGTACGACGAGAATTCACTTCGTTCAATTCTTTCTCGGCAATCTGTTGCAATTCTTGTGAAAGTGAGCGCACTTTTGTTGTAGGTAACGTAGTTTCCACTTTCATGGCGGTAAAATTGGTAAACTGACAAAAATTAAAAGAGATGCGATATTTAACACGTAAATAAACTACTTTAAATTTGTAAATTTTGGGAATAAATGCATAATTATATACATCTTATTAATCTGCGTATTTAATAAGTTAATTAATGTACATAATCCCATATTACTCTGCCATTTCTGCTTCGAGTATGATGAAAACAATCACTTCATTACAAAATTATAATTCTGACAATTACATTTTTTTCTCGCACACTTAAATGAATAAAATATTAAACTACTGACTAAAATGCTACACACGGTAATTTACATACTTCATAATATAGACTCATTAAGGCAACACCTTAGTACACAAAGGAAAAAAACAGATTTCGCAAATCACAATTCATGCAACCATCAGAACCATTGGAAATGATAACCGTATAACGCCACACGTAAAACACAAATAACCCTTTTTCAATCGAAATACTTGCTCCACTCGCACGGTAGCTCGCTCGTGTCGTAAACGTCAAACTTCTGATTAATAAGCACCGTAACGTGCTCCTAATACTATCAAAGTGTTATCTGGAAAACGCTGCTGAGCATTGCAACAGGAGGGTACGGCGTTGGGTGCACTGAACATAACATGAGTGTACCTACTACCATTGGAAAGACACTTATATAATGGTATATGGCCTGATTTTATAGTTTCCATGTCCATGGTACTTGGAAATGTTTTAGTACACAATAAATCACATTTTCTTAAAGAAGTATAACATATAAAATTGTCACACTTCTTTCAAGAAAATCGTGTTGGCCTGTTTTTTTTCCGGTCGCAATAACTGCAACGGCCTCTGGTGTTGCCTGGTTTTTCCGGGCTGGGGTCAGGTGTTTGATCTTCACCGATAATTTCAAGAATTCTCCCACTCAATGTGTTTGGAATGTTTTTTTATTTGAATCCTCATTCTGAGATGGCCTTCCACGAGTAGAAATGACAGTTGGCGTAGAAATTTGCGTCCGAGTTTCCGGATTGTTTAAAAAATACAACACCATAGAGTTTATGGCGGCAACATTCAGTACGGAGTAAAACACTACCATCGTGTTTCGAGCACAATCATACGCGGAACACAGCTTATCCACCGAATCTACACCCCTTTTGATCGCCTTGTAATCTAAAACCATTTCTGGTTTTTCTCCGTTAGGATCTAAAGCGCCATCATGTTGCAAATTTGACACCAATACCACATTTTTGTTTTTTTAGGAACATGGGATACGATCGCAATATTGGTCTGGAATCCAAAAAGACTAGATCCAATTGGTCTATTTTTTGGGACAGGTAATCTCTATAGGCAGTTCGCGTTTATTTTTGCGAATAGTACCCGAATATGTAAGTTTGTATTCATCGAGAAGAATTTTTACGAGCTCTATTCCAGAAAACCAATTATCACAGGTCACATTTAATTAATTATTTTTTGTTCTATATCTTCAAGGCATTATCTTATGTTAATTTTCCTTTTGTCATTCCGAAATGGACCCCCCAGCTAATTCATCAGGTTGAAAGTTTATGCATTAGGCCCCTGAAAAAAAAACCCGGAATAAAAACCCCGGAATAAAAACCCACGGAAAGAAAATCCCCCGGAAAGAAAACCCCCCGGAAAAAACCCACGGAATGAAAGACCCCCTGGTAAAAAAACCGGAAGAAAAACCACAGGGAAAAAAGGAAATATTGCGCGAGAGCTAAAGTTGCATATTGTTTACTGAAACAGGAATATCAAACAGAACTCGATATTTCACAATTTTCACAAAATAAGTAGGTAATTGCATAATACCCTAAAACTACCTTTAACCCTAATTAAACCTAATATTATGACTTATAGCTTCTAAGAAGTTTACCACATCTCTTTGTCCGGCGCTGTATTCTTCGCAGATATTTTTTAGTCTACTTTGCAGCAGTACATATTTTGCTTTTCTCCTTTTTGGGATTAATCGACCTAAATGTTGTTGGTGCAATTTTGTTCTATCGGCAGCTACCTCTTGACGCATCTTGATAATCAAAACCCACACAGTCGGATGGGTTTGACCCACTAAATTTGCGAATCGGTGATTCCACCTCTCGGTGTGGTTGTTTATCCTTTCTCCGTCTTCAACGTAATATGGTGGGCGTTCCATGTTTCAGGAGGAAAAATTGGCGGAATATTTCGCAACCGCACTGGAACATTGTTGTTGCCCCCACCTATCCTTCTGTATGTTTCGGTTACGTATGTATTATTGAAGTAAACTAGTAGAGATCCTCGGCACCTTGGGGAACATTTTCTTGTAGATACGTCAGACTTGGAATAGCTTATACTATAGGTATCTATTTGCCTTGTACAATCGCCCTAAGATGTATACCTACCTATTGTGGAGATTTAAAAAAGGGGGTGTTCATTCCAGGGTTTTTTTCCGGGGGGATTTCTTTCCGTGGGTTTTTATTCCGGGGGTTTTTATTCCGGTTTTTTTCACGTGTTTTTGTCCTAAACTCCTTAACATTATTCTTTCACTTTAATTTCGTTTGCTACATTCTTTTATAAAAGCGATGTTTTTTTCTTTACTGATTTTACAGCAAAGTGATACTAATATTAATCTAGATCCAGCTTTCTAAAAGAACCCTCCAAGCCGAACACTTCAGAAGAGGTTTTTCGAGTACCTGGTCGTAATCGTTCGTCAATCTTACAATTTTCGTCCTTAAGGAACCAATCTCGGTAACTTTCCACCTTATCCTTCCAGAAAACTACAACAAACCAATACCAGCTTAACGCGCAAGTTTTTTTTGTATCGTGTTACCGGTCAGATCCTTTACAGAGCCATTACAACCTCCAAACTCCTCCGGTAACAGATCCTTTGGAATTTTCTTAAATAACTCCTCAAAGTTGCTCTCACTGTATAATCCCATCTAAGAAATTTCTGTAATTTGGCGAATTGCTTTCACACCAATACCTACCCTTTGTTTTAGTTTCTCTGATCCGAAAAATTTCAAAAAATTGTAAAGAGCTTCGAAAATTTGCGGAAGGTGTGAGTAGTACGCCCCCTTCATTCTAAACGGAAATCCCTTTTCTTCAATCACCGCGTGTCGTTGTAAATTGGATGGAGTCAACTGAACGGCGTATTTCGACGAAAAATTCTTACAATAGCCCCAGAATAAGATACCACTAATAACAGCGTTGTCGTCCTCCCGTAGCAGTATATCCTGGATCATATAACTTAGCTTAGTAATGTTGACAATCGTCATTAGATTGGGATTAAGATTGTCGCTGAACCGAAGGACGATTATTCTGGGGCCATATTCATTTGCCACCTTGGGTAGTGGAAGAATGCATCCCGCTTCTAAGATAGCTTGCATTTCAGGTAGTAAGGGGTCTCTGTTTGTGAAGGCTTCTGGTGCCATCGTTCGTATTGTAAAGTATCTATCCAACCTTTCTTTTGCGCGCTCTAAACTGAATTTGCTGCATCGAAGGAACGAAACCAGCAACTGGTCACCTAGAAAGCGGGTTAGATCGAATACAAGCGAATACTTATATGGTTACCGATTTCAAAGTTGAAGTGTGGCTGCTTATTGATCCAATCTCTTATTTGCTGAATGTCGCTTGTAAGACGGGAACTCACTTCGTTTAATTCATTCTCAGCAATTCGCTGCAACTCTTGTGGAAGTGGGCGCACTTCTTTTATCGGTACTGATGTTTCCACCTTCATGACGACAAAATTTGTAAACTAATAAAAGCGATGCAACATTTAAAACGTACACAAACTTCTTTAAATGTGTAACGTTTGGAATAAATTTGCGTGTATTCACTTGTAGGTAAGAAGTTAATGGCTTGTTCGTGTAATCCTAACAATCACACTGCCATTTTTTGTGTTCAAATTTTTTTCTCGCATATTAATGGCTCATTTACTTGTACAAATCTACAGAACTAAAGCATTTTCACCCTGATTCTTAATGTGGTTTTTGCATTTGTATAGAAGCATTAAAATTATACCAGAATAAGATCAAATCTAGATGGTAATTTGCTAAAGAATGTAGACTCAATTAGGGAACATCTTACAAACCAAAGGGATAGAGCCATACTTCCATTCTGATTGAATGGGTCAACATTTTGTTGCTCTATTTTCGTGTTTTTAAAAGTCTGATTCAGACTGAAAATATTACTAGAATCATTGAATATTCAGTAACAATATTAATACTATGCGATCAAAAAAGAGTTGCTGTCGAGTCACCTTTGGAATTTTTGTCTACATGGGAAAAATGCGACTCGACAGCAACTCATTTTTGATCGCCCGTTAAATTCATTTTATACTTTTATGTATGGTGGGTTGCCTAATGTGCTTTTCTTTCACATTTGGTTAGAATGAGCTTGAGAATAAAAAAAAAACAACAAATGGTAACAGGACGGAAAGCGGCCATGTTACAACGCGATATTGTTCATAACTACCTTTGTGCACCAGGAGCTCTGGTCACGGTTTTGATCCAAATAAAATTGGCCCTTCCTTCAGGTTTGCTCTGCACAGATCGGCTATTTTGTGTGTTGGCATGGAAAAACCACTTGAGCTTGGGCAAGTCACCTCTACCCCTTGCAGACGGCTGAGACTGGCCGGCTGAGCTCAAGATCCCCAAACCGCCAGAAGTAGGCAGATTGAGGTCTGGCGCAGCGAACACTCCGCCACCCCACGGCCTCACTGAACCCACTGCCACCGCACGGCGTTAAGACTACTAGTGAACCTTTTTATTTAGTCATATAGATATAGTGGCTTAGCAGTGTAAGCTACAACGCAATAGATACTGCACCTTGCTCGTGTTGTGCATCGCCCCGTCCTCACCTGCTCACTTGGAGCTCCACCTGGTAACAATTTAAACCCGTTTCTTCGATGTAGATTTGAAATTGGTCCTACCACAACTTTTTGCACGGACCGATTACAGAATCCTTGCATTGTTATTGCACAGTCCCCCACCCAATCGCATTTGTGATTCCATGCGTCTACTCAATTTCACTATTGGGTAACAGTTGGCATCCAATGTTTTCGGTCTCCAGAAACAACGCAATCCAAGGATCACGCCCTGAACCTTCCACTGAGATATGCCAGCGACAACGAGGAGGGTGGGGACACACCCGTTCTGAACCCGGCATCGTCCACTGGCGCCCATCCAACTCACGATATCAAGACAACCGCTACCGAAAGACGACAAAACTAGCGTCTAGCGTCAGGTTTTGGCGCTTAAAAAGCTGCAAAACGACAAAATCGACCTTCTTTCTTTCAGAGGAGACCTTGGAGGAGACACGCCAAATTTCTCGAAGAGATTTATTTTTTTCTATTTATTTTTATTTTTTTAATTTATTTGATAGTGGACTGAGTGTTAGCTAATTATAGCTACTCTTCCCCATTCAACCCACTATACAACCACATACAGCCATGCCTTACCTGGGATTCGAGCCCAGGACCCTTGTAGCCAAACTTAGAGCTACTAACGTGAAGTCATCTGAGGTACGAAATTCGTTGTAGCTAAAAAGTAGGAAGTAAACCAAACTCGCCCTTAAACACCTTCGCGGTTCCGCGGAAACATGGTGGAGAGGCATCGATCACTTCGAGCCGACATTCAAGGAACTGAAATCGTTACTTTTACAACAATACGATAACACCACATAAGACCGAAACTAAGTACCGAATTCTATCGACTGCATGGCATTCTTACAGCGGAAGTCGAGAATAACCAGGTGTCTCGGATATCAAATTAACGACCACCTGGAATTAGTCGAAAACAAAAACGAAGTCCCGGAGGACGCCATAACATTGAAAGAGTTACTTATGTATTTTCGCAATAAATTGAAATGCTTCAAGCAAGTGATAGACAGAAACCGGAAAACTGGACAACGCGGACCGGACAGCAATAAAGTCAAGAACTTCGTAAGTAATGTTATTCAGAAGAAATCCAAGGTAAGATGCGACTGCAGCACAATTAGGTACCTAGTTGGAGGTAATGAGGATAAGCGATAAAAGGACTCAAAAAGTGCTCCGGAAAGATAAAGTGAAATCGCAGGGAAATACATAGGATGTATGATGTAAACTAAAAATACCTTAAGAAACCAAGAGCAGTTCTAGTAAATCTTTCGGCTTTTAATATACCATTCCACACATTCTACAAACATATTAATACAGAACTACGCAACACTTTAATCTATATTGAGTTTTCTAAACGAACCTTCTACGCCGAAAATGTCCGATCCATTTCTTGGCGCACCGGGCCGCAATGCTTCATTGGTCTTCAATTTTTCGTCGCTCAAAAACCAATCCCTATAACTTTCCACCTTTTGCTTCCAAAACACTACAACGAATAAAATATACAGTTACACTGACCTCAAAGTTTTTTTACCTGTTAGATCTTTCACAGAACTGTTAGATCCTCCGAATTCCTCAGGCAAAAGCTCTTGTGGTATTTTATCATAAAACTTGGCGAAGTTGCTCTCACCAAATATGGCCGACTGAAACATTGCCATTTGTGGAGGCGATCGACTTTACTGATAAGCGCTTACCCTTTCCTGCGTTTTCTTTGGGAATATAACAGTTATAGAGTCATAAAGTACTTGGAATAAGGTCGGAAGATGAGTATGATATGTTCCCCTATGTCTTAATGGATATCCTTTTATTGTAATCATTGAGTATTTGTGTAGATCGGTTGGAGTCATCTGAACAGCGTATTTTGGAGGCATTTTCTTGTAATAAACCCATGCTATGATACCGCTAACGATAGCATTGTCATCTTCTCTTAACAGTATATCCAAAAGCATATAATTCACTTTAAAGAGGTTGGTAAAATTCATTGTATTAGGATCAAGGTTGTCACTATAGCGACAAAGCACTATTCTGCTACCGTCTTCGCCGTGTGCCTTTGGCAGCGGAAGCATAAAGCTGTAATTAGAAGCTTACTTCTAAGATGGTGAATGAAAAATGGCGATACCCTGCATTTAAGATGGCTTGAATTTCCGGTAACAAAGGGTCTCTGTTGGTAAACACCTCGGGTGCCAGCGACCTCATCGTAAAGTAGTAGTCTAATTTTTCCTTTGTGCGTTCTAAACTAAATTTGCTGCATCGAAGGAATGAAATCAGCAGCTGGTCATCTGGAAAAATTCTTAGATCATTGACATCGATATTGGAAATAGCTACCAATCTCAAAACTTAGGTGTGGCTGTTTTTTGAACCAATCTCTTATTTGTTGAAAGTCGGTCTCCAATCGAGAACGAACTTCATTTAGCTCAGCTTCCGCAACTATTTGTAATGCACTTGATAATTGACGCATTTTAGGCGCAGATTTTTTAAGAAATACACCTCCGTTTTTAAAGTACAGGAAACAACTTTTTGGTGATGTGCAAAGCGAGGTTTTGTACTTAATGTTGATAATTAATTTTTAACGTGCCAGTTTTATAATTTTCCTGCAATGTCAAAAGCCTGTGATAAATAACAGGCAACATTAATGTATCTACCTTTGTTTTCAATTGTCCCACATACAAATTATTTTCAGAATATAAGGTAGTGCATTGGATAAAGATTTCGACACTATTTCCGAATCTAATGGGATCAAAGTATACTTTTTTTAGCACATTATCGTAAACCTCAAATAAATAAGTATTTGAAGTATTAAACTACTTTTTTTATGTTAATGATTTAATGAACAAATACATAATCGCACTTAAACTATCTGTCTGACTGACATCCAAATACCTAGATCTCTTTTTAGAGTTTTTCTTCTTGAATTTTTGAATCTTTCGGTTTTTTGGCTACCTATAACTTCGCTATTTGTAGACTTACAAGGTAAGGGCAAATTAATCAGGATAAAGTTCTGCATTCTGCAATTAAGCAACTGTGTACCTCTTACGGTCCCTATAGTAAAAATTAAAAAAAAACCCACCCCCCAACATTTTAATTAATACGTTTTTTTTGTAGTAAAATCAGTTTTTATTTTTTATATCTGGGAAAGGGGGCATGTCAGAACGGAGGCGCCATGGAAAGAAGTTTGGGAACCACTGCTCGACAAAGTTCTCTTCTTCTTTTTGAAAAAAACAGTTAAACAACCTATACTTTTAAAAATCCGAGTACAACTTCCGATTGTTTTCGTTGCTTATTAGGTATAAAAAAACGACAGTAACCAACTAAATATTTCCAACCACCTAACTTGTAAATTTAATTGATTCGTCGTCGAAATTATTTAATTTTTACTTAAATTTTGGCACAATTGTAAAAAAACCTTGTATGAAACACATTCTAAATGCACACGTCTTCACGTCTAGTGCAAAAAACACGCCCATTTTGCAACTCGGTGCATAAATAGCGAATTTCCACAGATCTTGCGACTTTTCTTTTAGTAGAAATTTGTTGATCGTTTACTACTCATGCCTTCAGTTGCTATGAAAATTATTGTAAGAAAATCATATTATGACGAACTTCGGTAGTAAATCTGCGCACAAATGGCATAAATAATGAAATAAGCATTAGTGGAATAATGACTATAATTTAATTTTCTAAAACAAAATTAAAGCGTACAGTTCCCTAAACGGGAAATAATCGGATTCGGTAGCCGTATCTACGAGAAAGTAAATGCAGGAAAGCGAAACAACATCCCCTCACCCCCTTATAATTAATGAAACAAAAAGTAACAAAAAGCTTACCTTGCAAATAAATAAATTTACGAAAAGGCAAAAAAGTTATAGATACG